AGGGGAGAAGAATTCTATATATGCAGCCCCAAACTTCGCAATACTTGGGGTACATCTTCTTTGTAAGGTAAATAAAATCAGGGGTTTACAAAAAATGTTAAAATCGATGAGGTCGCCTATTGAAGCATGACCTCATAAGGAAGACAAAGGAAACATTAAATGATTTATTAAGAAATAATTAGTCCATTATGTTAAGGGATTTGTGAATAGTCCGTGCGAAATGAAGAGGTAGGGGTGGTAGGGGGCAAGATCTTCCTTCTCACCCTGCTTGTTAGAGATCTGCGAATACAGAGACTGGACGTCGTTTACTCTGAGCTGCTTACTATTAGTAAGGAGATCAAAGGTTAGGCACTTTGTTATATAGATACTATAACCTTACATGGAATAATAAAATCATAGGGAAGACCACAGGTCACCCAACATATTACATAAATGTACTCTTATATATATATATCTTATAATTTTGCAGTTAATGTTGCTCAGCACCCCTTCCCCTTTTCTTCCTAAAGGTGAGTATTTTTTAAAACGCTTTGCTCATTTACCTGGATAATATTGCAAAAGGAAACCACACTAAAGGGTAGGATAATATCTTTTCTAATACCCATTAGGAAAAAAGTACAGCGCCGAAAATTAAAGGGTAGGATAATGAAGTATTGTTTATTTTTTTAAACTGAAACGTTAAAATTTTGCTTTCTTTGACAAAAATAAATGTTCTGGGTTTTTTTTACACTGTAAAGGCTTCATAGTATTACGATTTATCATATTTTCACTTTACGTATGGAACGCACTACATTTTGTAGCGGAGTAAACAGGCCCGATAGTCGTGATCTGAGCAGGGGACCTAAGGTCCTAGTTGCAAAGCTCCATAAATCACTTCTAATTTCATATCATGTTAATAAACATTGGTATCTAAAAATGCTTTTTCAGGATAAAAATTTCTACTTTTAATTAGGCCTTTCTGAGAAGTTCAAAGAACCTTGAAGCTTATTGAGAGGCATATAATGAAAATTGTTGCATGAAAAGATTTAATTTTAAAGGTTCATTTAAAGACTTTTTGAATTAAATTATAAATGAAGGAGTTGTCCTTCCTAGCTAAGGGTCGGAGTCCCTTAAGATTTTTTTTTCCAATTGAAAAATGTATTTTTGTGGTTGATTAATAACTAATGAACAGCAATTTCTCTTATGAACACCTTATATTTTATAGAAACTTGCATGACATTGTTGTTTATTTTTTCAATCATTAATTTTACATATTACGTATTTTCTGATTTAAATATATTTCTTTTAATTCTTAAGTTGGAAGTTCCGGTGTTGGGGTAACGATATTTGCTTACAAACACAACAGAGAAGTGTGGTACTGGATATTTGCTGTGGCAGGCGGCGCATGCGCAGGAGGAAACGCTTTTCTTGGATGCTGTTGTCAAAATATAATGCAAAGAGTTGATTTGAACATATTTTATTGTTAAGATGTTACAACAAAAGGATTGGACACAAGTACTTAATACTTAGAACGTCCTCTCCTTTATAACAATTAATTACACAAAGTTTTGTTCAAAAATTAATTTACGCTGGAACCAAAGGTCAATAAGATTATTTAACATAGGTAATGCATGTACAGAATTTAAATTGATGTAGTATGTACAAACGAATCAAAATACTTCAAAAACGACCAGATCTCTTGATAAACAATTGCACATTTAAAAATAAACTTTCATTTTCAGAAATACTGATCGAATTGACTCCCCATAACAAAACATGAGTGTCTACAATACGTAAGTTAATCATTCTAAAAATAGCATTGAACAGGTCGTTTCTTGGAGCAGTGTATTTCGTACAAGAGAAAAAGAAATGATATGCTTCTTCTATTTTTCCACAAGTGCATAATGGACTGTCAATAATATTACATCTAAATAGGTCTTTATTTAGAACACAATTGTGTCTTAATCTAGTATGAATTACACTCCAGTAACGATCACCAAAAGTAAAAAAGGACGGGGTGGTTGTTCTCTGAGAGTTTACACAATTTTTTAAGGAACCCATAGTAGTAGATTGTCGTGTTTCAAGAGACAAAGAGTTCCACACCCTTATTGCTATTGGAACAAATGGTGATTTATATATATATTTAATCTACACTTAGGGATGCAATAATTTTGTGACTGTCTTGTTACGTAATTTGATTCGTGTGATCGAATATTTGGAAATATATCTTTCAAATACTCGGGTACCATGTTATTATATATTTTATACATAGTTGTTCTAACTTTGGAAATTCGTCTTACAGCAAGTGATTCCCAACCAGTTTCAAAATAAAGTGAATCTCGCGATGCTAATGAAGTTAACCCAGTGACTATTCTTGCCGCTGCAAGTTGTAATTTTTCTAATTTTTCGGAATCTTGACTAGAACACCCACACCAAACTTCAGTTGCGTATTCTAACTGAGGTCTTATAAAATTAGTATATAAAAGAGATAAAGTTTTAGCACTGACCCTGAATTGCAGTTTTTTAAGTAGACCTAATTTTTTATATGCATTGGCCACGATAGAATCAATGTACGCTAACCAAGTGAGGTCGTTTGAAAAGAGAATGCCTAAGTGATTATGTGATGATACAAAATCTAAGTCACAATCTTGAAATTTGAGCAATGGTAAATCTACATTTTTCTTAGTACTAAAAAATACAGCTTTGGTTTTCGTAGGATTAAATTTCAATAGCCACTGTTTAGACCACCGCTCAAGTTGATTTAAATCATTATTCAATCCTAATTGAATATCATGTACATTTTCTGAACATTTCTGTAAAGAATTATCATCAGCATACAATCTGCTTAAGGTCGACAAATTTTCAGCAACATCATTGACATATATCAAGAATAAAAGTGGTCCCAATACAGACCCCTGGGGGACTCCAGCATGTAAAGATTTAAAACTAGACATAGTATTCCTATGCAATACTCTTTGTGTCCTTAAATCTAAATAACTTTGAAACCATAGTAATAACTTATCACTAACACCATATGTTTGTAGCTTAAAGAGAAGACCTTTATGCCACACCCGATCAAAAGCCTTAGACAAATCACAAAAAACCATACAACAGTGTTTTCCTTCATCAATAGCTTTAGCTATGTAATCATATGTCTCAATAAGTTGATAAACCGTTGAATGACCTGGTAAAAAACCAGCCTGATATTTATAAAAATGATTGTTAGAATGAAAAAAATCATAAACATATTTGAAAATAACTCGCTCCATAATTTTACCTACGCAGCTTAATAATGACACAGGTATATAATTTGATAATAATGATGGGTCTCCTTTTTTAAATAAAGGAAGTACATTAGCTACCTTCCACTGTTTAGGAAATACACATTCCCTTAAAGATCTGTTAAACAAAATACATAAAGGATAAGAGACGCTAAAAATGGTAGCTTTTAACATTTTGTGACTGATATTGTCAGGTCCTATGGCCTTGTTCACAGGGAGAATAGAAAGTATATCAATAATATCCTGCTCAACTAGTTCAATACTATTAAGAACACTATTACACAATAAAGAAAAGGCAGGTAACTCGGGTTCGACATCATGCGAAGACGAAATTGAAGCAAAATAGCTGTTTAACGCTTAAACCTTGTCAATATCGCTGTAAGTAATATGTACATTTCCATTTTCTGTAGTGTCCTTAAGAGTTAACGATCGATTTAGTGCATTAGATCTAGATGGAGTTGCCGATAAAAAGCTTCTAATTCCAAAGACTTGAACTTATGCAATGGTGAAATGATTTTAATGCAAAAGGAAAAAAAAAAAGATATTTTATTAAAATGGAATGGAATTCATAATAACCATTCTTATAACATTTCAGTTACTGTATTGATATTAATGGAGAAAAACCATTCATAACCGATGTCATTAATTTTATTCAATTGTAAGTTGTTTTCATTAAACCTAAGATTTTCATGATCTATCCATGAATCTCATATTGATCTTTTATATTTCATTCTAATTTAACTCAGGCAACATCCTAAAAAACATATTTGTGGTTTTGCCACCATCTCCTCCTTCTACTTTATTTTTCAAACAATGAAACGTGTTAAGCAAGTTCTAGTTTGAAACATTTTCTACCTAATATGATTTTAACATCAAGTGCTCCTGAATATGTTTAAATCTTTTGATTGAAGAACAAAGTCTTTCACCGTTAAACAATATACTTATATACACAAATCAGAATTGTTTATACTAGTATAAACAATTCTGATTTGTTATATTAAGGTGTAGGTATTCCAAACATTTTCTTGTATTTTATTTTGCAGATTCTTTTATGAAGATTCCTAAAATATAAATTGTATACAAGACGTCAGTTTTTAGGAAATATGCATTTTTTTTTTAATTATTATTATATACATTATATAAAATGTTTTTGTTTGTTTCGTTATTTCACATCATTCGAAAATTTTTCTCAAATATTATTTGCCACCACTTGCCGGAGAAGGACTGAAAATGTAAACTTATAAATACTAGGATTACGGGCCAACTTGTCGGAAGGAGATCTTGAAGAAGCCAACACTTAATAGGACACTGAATGTTGGATCATATAAGTCCTCTGTCTGCATGTTACGCGATGGGTTCGAACCAAATCTTACGTTGTGACTCTGGGGAAAACGCTCAGTTTATGAGCTGAATCATGCAGTTTTCTTGAGAAATACCTTATCGAAATTGGTTTTTGTTTCATCTGATATACACATCAGGCTTGGGGGCCATAAAACATAGACGAGCTCACTTTTTATCTAAGTCTCACTTTTACTAAAGGAATATATAGTGGAAAAGTGAGACTGAGATCAAAAGTGAGCTCGTCTAAGTTTTATGGCCCCAGGCCAGGACAATACTACATGAGAATATTATCTGTCGTTGATAAAAGCAACAAATAACAAAATCATGATTCACAGATAAAAGGAGGAAATTTATCGTCCTGCCCCTTTTAACAATATATTTTATTTAACGAAAAAACGATAAAACTGATAAGTTTTATTGAAAAATGTCATTTCAAATTTCAACCATCAGAATATTATTTCAGGTAATCATGCAGTGACAAAGATCTCACCAAAAGAATGAGTATATGCTAATTCTCGTTGAAATATTTAACTGAACGTATTCTGTCCTTTTAAATTTCCCCCAGAAACGTAGCTACATGTAGAAGATGCAAGTGCGCAAGTGACTTAGTTGAACTAAATAGAAAACAAATAGCTATGTTCAAGAAGAGTTTAAATAAAAAAGCAAAAGCTATGAATCTGACACAAAATTAATGTGTAACAGAAAAAAATAGTGTAAAGATTGATTCATGGGAAAATGACAATGCAACGATACCATACCTGATATAAAAAGAAAAAAGTGAAAAAAAAAAAAAAAATGATTCACAAAAATTTATTGTGATATTGGCTTGGGTTCATGAATCAAGGTAATATTAATAGCAATATACATTTATCGATATATGTAACATTACTCTGTGAATATAGAAATAAAAATTAAGAAACGAAGTATAACCTGACTAAATCTTGGATATTTTGTACATATTTCACTTTAAGCATGAATTGATTATGTTTGTACCTTTCTGAAAACTAGATGATGGTGCCGTTTACAAAAATGATCTAAAATTACTCTTCAAGCCCTTTCCCATCCTGTCAAACTAAACTAAGAAAACAAACAAAATCTAAATACTATTTTTTAAATACGTGTTACTCCTACTCTTACTTTGGAGCTAAATAAGTGCTTTTACTCACAACGTACTTTAATATTATAATTATTACAATGTGACATGTAAAAAAGATTTCTGATGAGAGCAGAACGAAAACACATACATGTATTACAAAGAACTTTATCAGGACTTAAATCAAGAAATGTAGTTAACAAGTAAAAAAATAAAATTCATGACAATAATAATTGATTCATCAGTCTTTAACAATGTTTTCAGCTCTTGATTCTCTTGATCTGATCTTTTCCGGGTTTAAGCAAACATAAGATTTAGGCCCAGTAACGCGATAACTAATCTCGTTACAATGCGGAAGATTCATGTGTCTTTCATCTGCGATGTCCAGAAAAATCATTTCGAGAACTGGCGGGAGAGGATCAAAACCTCCTAATTTTGCGAGATCTTCGTTGTAGCGAAATTGTCTTCCAAAATCCCCGAAGCAATGAGCATAAGAGGGTGGTTTTCCTTCCTTTAAACGAGACTGAAAATCAGCTTCACTCTCTGTCCTCATTACCTCTTTGGATGGAAATTTCACTTTTCCTGCTAACGCCAAAACTGCAAGTTTTGCCATTTCATGGTACATAGGAATGTATAAAAACGCCTTAGCAATTCCGAAAAAAATCAAGTTTGGATAATCAATATGAAACATGTGTTTGTATATTTGCTGAACGCGTTCATCTTTAATCGTTATCATGTCATCTTTTAAGAAAGGAAATGAGTAACGATATCCTGTACAGAATATGACGGCATCCACTTTTTCTGAAGAACCATCCGGAAAAACCACTGAATCTTTCGTCATGCGAACGAAAGGAGGCCTTTGTCCTATTTCTTTTGGGAAAGATTGCGGGAATTCTTTAGGATCCCGACTGTGGCATGCAAAGACCTTTAAGTAAATGTAAATCAAAAACGAAAATACCATACTATTAAATCACATATTTTCGAGGGTCGACCTTTCGAGGTTTAAGAAAGAAGAATTGGTTTATAGCAATTCGATTTCGCAGTTGTAGAAGTATTGAGTATTAATGTAATTAATAATGTAATTCATAGTATTATGAAAATTTACATTTCAAGGTTGTCTTGAATTCGAAGGTCTCTTCATAACTCGAAAACAACGAAAATTAAACCTCCATGAAAATAAGTGATTTCAAAGTATATAAATGATATTGTTTTTTTTATTTCTGCAAACAGCAATTTAATGTAAATTGTATTTTGTAATATAACATGTAAGAATTAATAACGTATGTCCACCTCCAGACTTGTATAATTTAAATGGGATTTAACTTGATGTCATGTTTTTATTTTCACATATCTGTTATTTTTTTTAAAATACCAGTTTTAGTTTTTCCTTTTAGGCATCCACCCCAAAAATCAGAATTACCTTTTTATAAGAGAGAATAAGAGACTGTTAAGGGACAACAATCGTGATAATGCTTTACTAAGAACATTACTTGTTCACAACTTCATGTGTATAACTATACAAGAAAAGACCCCTTTCCTCATGTCCATACATTTTTCTTATTTAAAACATTCAAGAAAGAATAAATTTCGATTTCATCAATAAGAAAAGAATAAATTTACTGTTTAGACTTTATACCTTTTTGGCAAACTTTGCTACATGCATTGAAATATCTTCTCCTGAAAAGCTACAACCAAGGATTGCAACACAAAGTCCATCAAAATGTTCTTCGTGTCTGAACTCTTTACTGTGAATCATTCTTCCCTCAAACAATTCCATTCCAGGGATATTCGGAGTGTACGGTTTACTGTTGTGACTGAAAAAAATATACAAATGAAATATGTGATGATAATGTACAGTCTTCAATCTCAAAAGTCCATTAAACATCACAAAATAAGACCGGGGCAAACACCGACTTCCAAAAGATCAGAGGTGGGATCAGGTGACACCACGGAGGAGTGAGCATCCTCTGCCGACCGGTCACACCGGCCTGTGCTCCCTGTCATAATTATGAAAGAACGAAATTTAACATGGGCAACTCACAAAAAACATCAAAAGTATCTCTTTCAGTTTTCAGATAACATGATTTACAATATTTCTTTATTTTTTTTATTTTTATTAAATATCTTTCATTTTTGAACAAATTAAATAAGTCTCAGAAAATTTGAATCAAATATCTCATGTTTTGAAACATCTCCGTTTGCAATAGACATTCATAAATTAAAGAAACATTTATGTCCGTACCCATTACATATAAGAACAGAATCGAACACTTCCGTTTTGACCTCAGATAACTTGTTCACTGGAGAAAATGTGACAGTCCATTTACAAAGGCTATTATCTTGGTCTTTGAATGGCCTTACGTCTCGAACGAAGGTGTGGGTCTTCAAAATAAAATTAATAAGCATGAAAAAAGTACGAAGTACGAAAAAAAAAATCAGCTAAATTCCTGTTTTGTAGTTAAGATATTTCATTCCACAGTCTTTGATACTGATATACAGCTTGAATCAATCTTAAAAAAAATTATGATAAAATAAGCGAAGCATCACCTTTAAATGATTGACATGAACAAAAAAAATTTTAGTTAAAGGAAACGTCTCGAATTTTCATGTCTTTTAATACAGTTAGAACATAATTTGTTTTATATATGAAGCACATATTATTTGACCTATTCAGCACACATCATCCTTATAAAAAACAAAAAAGACGAGAAGATTGCAATGTTACCCGTAAGTATGGTCTAAAAGACGAGGAATTTGCCAAGATTAATCGTATGTATGGTCTAAAAAACAGGAAGAAATTGGCCATGATTACCCGTATGTAGGGTCTCAGCTTGTAGCTATCCATGACCATGTTGAGGTATTGATGGTACTGCTGTCGTGTGATATAAGATGTTGTCCATTCCTTAGGATAGGGGAAATCTGGAAACTCCTGTAATTCCTTTGGGAGATTTGTTCTGTAGATATGTAGATTACATATCATGATATCATTTGGTAAAGTTAGTTGTAAAATTAAAAGAAACATTTCTGTGTAACAGTATTAATAGTCTTTATCAATGCAAACACATGCGTATTTATTAACAAGTAAGACTGTAATGACAAAATCAACGTTTTACAAAATTTACATTTAAAATAATTTAGGCTCTGTGATGTTAACTTGACAATGTGATCAGAATTAACAGATCATATTTTTGAAGAACATACTTACGTTATGTAAGCTATCATGCTGAAACCACGATTGATTTGTAGAAAAACAAAGACTGTTGAATGCTTTGGTGTTAAAATGATAGTGGAGGCCGATATAAATGAACACGACAAAAATAACAAACAGTAATCGAATGAAGAAAAAAAACCCAGATCTATGAATAGGACATTATAATTAACCACATGCACGAACGTCTAGATATCAAAGGAGTGTGCCTACAATGCATATCATCCCGACCTCTCACAAGCCTTCGGGTAATGTATAAGAAACTAATTTTTTTTAATTTTTTTTTTACTGAAAAAATGAAAATTGGCATACCTTAGATTGTTGTATAGAGCTGAGTGAATAGGCAATCCGAAATCGTCTTTGCCTGTTTGCTCAGTGTAGTTCCATAATCCACACGGCCAAAAATTCCGCTCAAATGCCACTGGTTCAAAAATGTTCAAATTTTCACAAAGGTGCTACAAAGAAAAAAATTCTAAATTTTTGGGGAGTTGATTATGCTTTCTCTCATTTTTATTAACCTTTTCTAAATAATCGATCGGGTGACATTTGTTTGGAAATACAATTTAAAGGCGATTAAAGATAGATAAAGTCATTCATGAATCGAGGTACTTTTCGAATTTCATAAATATGTTTTTGAAGGATTAAGATTATATATAAATAGTCAGAATACTAATTTGGCTATCAGAGTCTATAAAAGAGATTGATCAGTATAACGTATATTGAATATAACGTTCATCACAAGAACAAGGTACCGTTGCAGTACAAATCTTGCCCTGAATTTCTTAAATAAATTTCACATTTTCTTAAATAAATTTCTGAAATTTAGATTGATTGATTGAATACTGTTAAACGTCCCAGTCGAGAATTTTTCACTCATACAGAGACGTCACCATATGCCGGTGAAGGGCTTCAAATTAATTTCTATACTCGTTACTCAGGGTCATTGAGCATATTGGTTTTTAATTGTGCCAACGCCTATTGTGACACGAGACCTACGTTTTTAAGGTCATATCCTAAAGACCCGTGACTTTCACTTCTAGTGCCGAACGCTTGGCAAAGGAACAGTCACTACCTATGTTTACGTCTTAGGTTTGAGGCAGCGCCGCGAACGAGAATGGAATCGAACCCGGGCCTCCCGAGCAATATGTGCTTCAATATTGTCGAAGTGGCTTCAACTGATAAAAAAACTTTGACATATATATAATTTATATATATGTTGGAAAAAAGGAAACTTTTGAAATAATAAATAGGCAAGGATTGTTTATTCTGTCATTATTATGTAAATATTTCAGTAAATAAAAATGTTTTAAAACGTTTCACATATTTTAACATGATTATGTTTCGATACATTAATTCTAGACGTAAGATTATAGCTGCAGTGCCCTATTTTCGCACCGGATCTGGGACATCAAGGATTATTTAACTAGACGTTGTGCATCTCATAAAACTCTAAACAGATTTTATGAATGATACTTTAACAGCTACTCAAATTCCTCACGATTGTTAAGTCGTTTCCATGCATATGAAATTGTCAGTATTTACTCTGAAAGGGTTTTAAATTTAGACGATTCACATCATCCGGGGCAACAAAAGCTGTGAGAGATTGTAAGCCTGCCAAGGGCTGTAGTTTTTTGTAATTTCATCCAAAAGGTCTACAATTTCCCTTCTAAAAAGCCAAACTGGAATGAACAGATTCTAATCAAATATTAATGGACTAGGGCTTTTTGCACCTATCAGACCTGAAATCACGAGCCCTTGATCATTGTGCAATAATTGGAAATATCCCAATACTTTCTGAATATATAATATTTGTTCTAAAATCCATCACTAAATTTTCAGTGAAGTACAAATATTGGCAAAAATTAAACTGTGCAAAGTGGCATTTTTCGGGATAAAACTGATGTAAGAATGCATAAAGAATATTTTATGAATTTTAGTTCTTTAATGTCTGATACACTGAAAAAAAAGCCATCCGTGTTAGAGTTCATGTCTGATTTTAGTCTCTTGACACGATGCATTTATTTCTATCAATAACTATAAAAAAGGACAAATAAAATTTTATAATACTGTAAATTTCTTATTTTTCGCGAGTACTTTTTATTGCAAACTGGGTCTTTCACGTCAAATCGCGAGAATTATAATTCGCGAATGCACGGTTAATGAACAGAATTTACATAGATTTCAGCACCATAAAAATAAAAGCGAGTAATATTTTTTTCGTGAGTGACGCTTCTCGCGAAATTACGCAGAAATTAATTCCTGGCGTATAATTAGGAATCTACAGTATCAAATTTAATCGTAATTACCTTCAGAGAGCAGAGTCCTGCGGGACCGGCGCCTATCACGGCAACCCTCTGCTTAGCTGTTTTCTCAGACATAATGTTCAAGTCAGTAGTCCAGATTTTTTAACACCCCATCCTTAAATACCACCACAAGACTGTGTCATATGATCTATTGCGTGCAAAACAAACCAATTTTAACGTTGTCTTTAATCGTAAAGCATTTGATACCCCCGACTCGAAATATCCTGGGGGTGTTTTGTTTTTTCTGTCTGTTTGTCTGTTTATCTGTATGTTAGTCAGGCGGCATGCCTAAATTTTTTGAGACAATTGTGCATTTTGTGATAAAAGCATAGAATTTTTTATGCAAGTAGAGTAGTTCATTACAAACATATTTGGATATTGGGCCTCTTCAGTCGGTACCTTGTATGACCTTGGCGGCCAATTTTCAAAATGGCTGACAAACGCAAGCATTTACAAGAACATTTTCTTTTACATGTTTAAAATGAAAACAACTTTGCAATATTTATAAATGTATTTATTTTTGCACATGCTCTATGATTCAGAAAAAATGTTTCTTCATCTCATTGGGGTTGAGTATGTGCCAGCTGATGCTATTTATAGTAATATTTTTTTCTAAATTGACAATATTTAAAGTCTATGATAAAAATTATAACATATTCTTTAAAACAGACATTTACGACCTATCTTTAACTAAATATGCTGTGATAAAGACAAAATACCAACCCTTAAATTTGATACCTTATTGTTTAACTTGCAGAGTTCACTTGTAACTGTTGTTACTGTTTATAGTAACTTATAGTACAGTTCAAATTGTAACTGTTGTTACTATTCATAGTAAAATTTAACTATCATTCGCAATACTTATTATACCCCCACTTGAAAAGTGAAAGGGTATTTTGTAATCGGTTTTTCCATCCGTTCGTCTGTACGTCCGTCTGTCTGTTACGCTTTGGGATACCCATCTCTTATCTGCAACTCCTCTTTTACCACTGAGTGAAATTTAATGAAACTTTCACAGAATCTTTATTACATATTGCCATTGTGCACCTCTTATTTCACTTTTTGATCCGACACATATTTTGGGTTTCCCCGCCACAGCATAACATGAACTTTTCCATTGTAATAATTTTGGAGGCGGGGGTATCATTTAGTGAGCTCATTGTTCACAGTACCTCTACTTCAGTCAAAGGACGGCCATGCAAATTGAATGAAAAGAAACATAAAACACTATCATCGCAAAATTAATTGTGTTAAACATGTAATGCTTAAAAACTATAGTTACTAGTATATTGAATACTGGTATATAATTGTTATGGAACTTGAGTTGTTTGTATTGACTTTTGCCAATCTCTTTGACTTCCGATTTATCTGGAAGTTCTTACAGAGCTTGCAACGTTGTTCCATGCCTTAGATCACACAAATTATGCAAGATGGATTCCTGTTCATCTCAGGGACATGGCGGAACTCCCTAAAAACCCTGAAATAAATCACAGTGCAAAACACCAAACTGGTCTTCTCTGCTATTCCAATCAAACAAGCACATGAACAAAACAACGCCTATATCAAGGACAACGGAGGAGCAATATGTCTTACTAATAACCCTCCAATCCTTCTTCAATGGATGATATCTGGGCCAGAGATGAACAATCTGACAAGAGAGGGTCAAAAGATACCCGTCATCATGATCAAACACTTAGTATACAGGCTTCGTTTGCTAAAGATGTTCACTCTCTTGTTTGTCTGATCAGTGACCTTGGCAATCCTTTTGATGAATTATGTAAATATCTTCTAGTTCTAGATACAAAGGAACTTTCAAACCAATCTGCAGTAAGAGCTTTGATATGTGTAATGAGAGTTAGAATTGATAAACTTACACAGTTTTGCAAAGAATGGCTCATTAACAGGTGAAAACTAATCAATGATATCATTCATCGTAGTAGAGTAAGCTTATAAAAAAAATACAAGCAGTTCAAAATTCATTGAAAAGAAAGAGGATTTAACTTAGCTCAAATGTGATGTGACTCCCTTTTTGTCAAAACAGACAAGGTAACCCTAGAGAATTCTTTCGACATGAGAATCCACTATGCCCGCCTTCACTTTCTGATGCATGTAACATCCATCTTGGAACCAAGAGTGACCTTCTTCAGTGTTTGGAGAAATTTGACGAGGAGCGGTCTGAGCCTCCATTGACAAGCTGTGTAATTCTGAAAGGTTCAGTTGTTGTTCAGGTACTGCTAAGACCTCAGAAAATTATGCTCATCAGAACTTCCTTCCATATATTTCCTCAGTTTCTAAGAGCTTCGCGTGTAGACCTGGTATGGGACAAATATATACACAATTTATTAAAAGGTACCTCTAGAGCAAATCGAGGCAAGAGAAAACGAATTTGTGACTGCCGAGTCAACAGTACCTAGAGATTGGCAAAATTTCCTCGAGTAGATAGAAACAAGACGGAACTTTACAGCTTCCTCTCAAGATCTCTCATTACGACTTTTGATAAAGGTGTCAACCAAATAGTTATCACCGATGGTAAAAATGTTCTTTCAAAGCTCCAAATACAAGATATTCTTTCGATTTCTCCATGTAATCACGATGAAGCAGATAGCCGAATGCTGTTACACACAGCACATGCATCTCACCAAGGCCATAACAGAATACTGATCCGCACTGTTGACACTGATGCTGTGGTCCTGGCTGTGTCCGTGGTGTAAACTTTGTACCCAGAGACGTAACTTTGGATAGCCTTTAGAACTGAAAAAAAATTTCCGTCACGTGACAGCCCATATAATTGGACGTGGCCTTGGACACAGAAAAGCTTTTACACTTCCAATGTTTCATACGCTGACTTGATGTGACAATGTTTCCAGCTTTGGTGGGAATGGCAAAAAAACTGCACGGAAAACTTGGAAGGCCCTACCTTAGCTCACTGACGCACTTGTTAAATTAGTTTGTCCACCAACTAGTATACCAAGCAA